GCATAGAAATAGCCCTTCGACATGTTTATTCCGACGAACAAATACCAAAGTCCGCTAATCCCATTTACTTGCTCTTGGTCCACAGCCTGCTATGCCTCGCATTTTAAGTACTCATCCAGATGCTCTTTAAATGTTGCGAGAGTAACTGCTTTCAACAGCCTTTCAGGCAGATCCTGAATATATCTACCGTTCTCCGGGTGAAAGATTTTCTCAAATTTCCTCGAAACCACTTGCTCCTCACGTTAAACGTATGCCCGCTGGTTTTAGAAACGTCTGCTATAGGGGACATATTCTTATGATCTATCTGTGTGTTTAGAGAAATGTTATTACTCACCTCTGGAGCAGGTGGGACTTGAACCCAGGCCTGTCAGTCCAGGAGTAGGGACACTACCACTATGCCATGTATGGCTCAACCAGAAAACCCCCTTTGCCTCCTCTGCTCCAAGGAAACAAACCCAGCCTGAGTGAGAATTTTCACACCAGGCAACATCCTGGGCAAGACTGTTGCATATGCTGCATTTTGTTTGGGGAGAAGGAGTTAAACTTAAGACAATCTTTTGGAATTTGGTGCCTTGTGACATAATAGATCTGGTGTTAATGGAGGGGATGCTTGATGTGTATTTAGAAAATTTCTGGTTGAAATAGGACTAGATTATATCTGGTGTTGGAAAAAAACTATTTAAACTTTCGTTTCCTGCCACGTGTTTCATGCCACTGATTTATTTTTCAATGCTGCTGTTAGCCAGAGATTGAGTGGTTTTTGTATTAAGTTTAGGATTTTAAAAGCATCACCATTAATGGAAAGAGCAATAGATCACCTGGACAGGTATTGCAAGTATTTACAATAATCTTCATTTGAAAACACTATGCTGAAAATGGTGACAACAATAAACATTGCCTATTCAGGAAATAGCTGAGCCATACAGATCAGGGTTCTAAGTCTGTTTTGACTTGGATGATTGGCTACTGTTCAGTACCATTCACAATTCCTCAGATACTGAAGAATTCTTATGTCCCTGTGCAGGGAGACTGGGACAATTTACACACGTGTGTTGATAAATGGCAAGTATAACATTTCACCTCGCGCAAGTGCCAGACAACAAACATCTCTGGCATGAGAAAACTGAAGCATCACCCCTTAATATTAAATGGCATGCCATTGCTGAATCAACATCCTGAGGAGTTACCATTGATCTGAAACTTACCAACACTAGCCATGGCTACAAGAGCAGATCAGAGGCTGGGAATTCTGTGGTGACTCCCTAAAGCGTGTCTCTATCTATAAACCAGGAATGTGGTAGAATAATCTTCGCTTGCCTGGATGAGTGCAAGTCTAACAATGCTTAAGCTGAACAGCAGCCCAATTAAACATACACTCCCTCCAATATCAACCCATGTTCTTGTGCATACAAGATGTACTGGAACAACTTTCAAAGGTCCCTTTTGACAGCATTTTACTAACCTATGACTTCTACTACCTCAAAGGAAAAGGTAGCAGATGCTTGGAAACAGCTCCATGTGCAAGTTCCCCTCCACCCAGATAATATCTTGACTTGAAGTAATAATACCCCGTTAACAGTTGCTAGGTCAGGAACCCCCTTCCAGACAGCAGTAACTCAATTTCTAACAGCAGCATCTCTGCCATGTGGACTGTGCAGTTTAAGTGGGCATGTTGTCACTGCCATATCAAAGACAATTATGGTGAATGTAAATGCTAGCCTTGCGAGCAATGCTCAGATTTTCAAGAACAGATTGTGGATTGGCATTGCCAAGATTGCGGACAAAGATAGCCTACCATTTGTGCAGATGGTACCGGTGATCTCACATAACCAAAACAAAGCCATGGACAAAAGAATGCACTTTAGAGTCATAAAGATGTACAGCACGGAAGCAGACCCTTCGGTCTGACTCGTCCATACCAACCAGATATCCTAAATTAACCTAGTTTCATTTGCCAGCATTTGGCCAATATCTCTTTAAACCCTTCCTATTCGTATACCCACCCAGATATCTTAATTGTAACAGCCTCCACCGCTTCCTCTGGCAGCTCATTCCATACATGCACCACCTTCTGCATGGAAAAAGTTGCCCCTTGGGTCCTTTTTTTAAATCTTTCCTCCCTCGCCTTAAACCTACATACTCTAGTTTTTGACTGCCCTACCCTGGGAAAAAGACCTCGACTATTCACCCTATCCATGACCTTCATGATTTTATAAACTTCTATAAAGTCACCCCTCAGCCTCTGATGCTCCAGAGAAAGTAGCCTCAGCCTATTCAGCCTCTCCCTATAGCTCAAACCCTCCAACCCTGATAACATTGTTGTAAATCTTTTCTGAACCCTTTCTAGTTTCACAACATCTTTCCTATAGGAGGGAGACCAGAATTGCACGCAGTATTCCAAATGTGGCCTAACCGATGTCCTGTACAGCTGCAACATGACCTCCCAACTCTTATACTCAAAGCTGACTAATAAAGGTAAATGAACCAAATGCCTTTGTCACTATCCTGACTACCTGTGCCTCCACTTTGAAGGAACTATGAACCTGCAGTCTAAGGTCCATTTGTTCAGTAACACGCCCCAGGACCTTACCATTAAGTTAAGGTACTTACTATTGTGCTCTGATGTAACCTTTACTGTCATCTACACCACCAATTTTGGTATCATTTGCAAATTTACTAACTGTACCTCCGATATTCCCACCCCAATCATTTGTATAATTTTATGATCCACTAAATACAAGACGGTAATGTCCCACCTTGGACTATAGCACTTTGAATGTAAATGTCGTGGCCTCATGTGCAAACATGAACCTGAAGAGTCCTCACATCTTTGTCTGATTTAGGTAGGTTTTCAGTAGAGCATAAGGCATCAGTTACGTGCATCAGGAAATGAGCCACATGTAATTGGGGGATTAGTGGCAATGGAGGAAGGAGAGAGAGAATGTTGAGGAGGAAATTAAGAGGGTAGTTTACTCCACCTCACTCAGAGTCCCAACATTGGGCTCCAATAGACCCCTCAAAGGGAGGGGTCCCTCATAATTCTGAGTGATATAGATTTGTTGTCTCCATTTATACAATAACATTTTTAAGAACTGTGTCCCCAATGACTGCTCTCCAGTCCCTTTTTTGTGTTTCATCTCCTCTACCACAAAACTATGCAATTATTGTGATCATATGGGCAGCACCATCTTGGTTCCTGGCAGTTGCTGTTTTTGATTGCTGAGCCATATAGTTGTGGTGTTATCAGTAAATACAGACAAACCACTCAGGTGGTGGGGAGAGTTGATATTATGATTGACATCAATTACATAGGTTTTTGTTTCTAATCATAGTATAATGAGTCCTGCTAGAAATATGCAACTGTTTTTAATTTATTGATACATAGCATTTCCATGGTCTAGAAAATTGTATGGATCCAGCACAACCAGCAACAGTTGTGAAATTAACTTGCCAGTTCTTATCAAATCTAGTGTGTTTACTTTTGGTAGCCACAGACTGTATGAGACTCATGTTTTGAGAACTAGTGCACTAACGTCAATATAGAAGTGATCTATTTGGACATTAGATGAGCATAGAATCAAACTTCACTGTGCTGTCTCTTGTGCCAAAACTCATAAATAAGACATAGTTGAATAATACATAAGAGAACAATCAAGTAAAAGACTTGAGCCTTTCACAATCACAAGATGAGTCAAAGCACTTCACAGTTAACAAAATACTTTTGAATAATAGTCACAGGTGTAATGTAGGAAGCATGGTAGCCAATATCCTACAAACAGCAAGGACCAGATGATCCATTTTAATGATGTTACTTGAGGGATGCAAGTTCAACAGAACACTGGGTGAACTCCTGTAATTCAGATGATATGGTGGGAATTTTTATTTCACTTGAGAATCCAGGTGGGGCTTTGGTTTAGTATCTCATCTTGAAATTGGTGTCTTTTGATAGTGCTGAAGGAGCACTGCACTGGAATGTTAATTTTAATTTTATTCTCAAATCTCTGAAGTGAGAGCTGAACTCAAATCAGTCTGCCTCAAATAAACGTGTTATTACAGAGCCATGGTTGAAACATGCAAAATGGTAATTCAAAGCAAGGATGGACCTTTGCTTTAGATTAAAAAAAATAGCATTTTGATGGAAAATTAAAATTTATGACAATTAAGTTTAGATTTTCTGTTTCTGATTGTTTTGTCTTGATTTATTTTTGCAATTATTAATTAAATGATATATTTATTCCCGTTTTAGCAACACTTTACTTTAAAAAATTAATATGTTGAGAAAAATCAGTTTTTTCAAAAATTTAGAACACTGAAAAAAAAACTGATGAATATGTTCTGTAAGTGGTTCAATGAATATTTGTTTGGTATTGTATCCCTGTACTCTTATCAATTTTCTGCCCAGGCCTAACTTTGTACAAGAATCCATACATGAATTAATTTAACTAAACAAGGGTTACTCAGCAGGATGTAAATTAGCATTTTATAGTTTTTTTTTATGGAAAATAGCAGAAATTCCTTTATGCAACCATGTTACAAGTCAATACAATGATCTAAATTCTAGTGATTTAGGCATAGAGCATCTTTATGCATTAAAGAAATGGAGCCAGCCTAGAACCTGACACTCTTGTCAAATTACAGAAGTGCTTAATCCATGATATTTGATATAAATGGTCATTTGGTATTGTGGAACATTTTAGTATTTCTGGAAAAAAAGGTATAATTTGTTGAAGCTTTTTCAGTAATATTGAATATACCTTTTAGATATTAGAATGAATAGGTACTTCTGTTGGAAGCCATATTACTATAAATACACCGCAGTTGTGTGGAAATTTCTTTTGTGCAGCAAAGTGATAAAAATGATTGTTATACAGTCCCTCAACTGTATCATGTCATGGGAGATTTGTACTATGCATATTTATTTATAGTTGTCCTTGGCTGGTTAAGTAGAACTTATTTAAATTTAATATGATAATACTAATTTTCTTTTCAATTTCTTTCAGATATGGCCGTGTGGAAAGTGTCAAAATTCTTCCCAAAAGGGGCTCAGAAGGTGGAGTGGCAGCCTTTGTGGATTTTGTGGACATCAAAAGTGCGCAAAAAGCACACAATTCTGTCAACAAAATGGGAGACAGGGATCTGCGAACGGATTACAATGAGCCTGGCACTATTCCTAGTGCTGCTCGGGGATTAGATGATACCGTTCCTATAGGAACTCGTACTAGAGAGGTTTCAGGGTTCAGGGGAGGTGGTGGGGGGCCAACATATGGACCACCACCATCACTACATGGACGGGAAGGACGTTATGAACGGAGACTTGATGGGTAAGTTCCAAGGTTTCTCTAGGCAGGGTTTTGATAAATGGTATGGTGAGAAGCAGCAACTCATGTATAGGTTACCCAGATGGATTTATTGAGGAATTCTGTACATTCGTGCCATTGTTGGATATGGAAGAGAATTGAAACCAGTAGCAGTTCTGGCCTATTCGCAGTGGATCTATTCTGCAGCTGTGGCTGGATGACTACTCCTGGGATAAGTTTGGTTAGTTTGATGGAAGGTTTCTGTCAGTTAATATGGTGTTAATCCTCGTAATATGCTTCCCTTTTCTCCCTGGATTGCAAGCAGTTCCCTCTGGATGTATCCCTTCGATCGAATGGCTATAATAATATTGTCTGGTACAACTGACCTGAGGAATGCTATGGGATTACCAGACCTACTTTTTGAGGCAATACTGAAGTGTATTGAAGACTTCCTGCAGTATTATATTTTGGCTTTGGTTTAAATAAAATGTATTGATGCACATTCTTTGGATATGAAAGATTTCTATGAAGATAGAGTACTCTTGCGATCTACTATTTCCTGGAAGGATATTACAGCCAATGATTTGCGACAGGAATACATGCAAGGAAAACTGAAGAATGAGGATGTAACAGATGCAGTTATGATGGGTCTACAAATCTGTACTGTTTACTTTTTTTCTCTCTGAGTGGATCTTATGGATATTTATGGGCTAAAGATAAAATATTAGAAACTTTTAAACATTTGGAATGTCACTTGCCCCGTATAATGGAATAGAAGTCATTATCTCTTCAACATGGGATTATATGGAACCTTTAAGTAGTTGTGTGGCAGAATGGATTACCTGGTTTGTGTTTGACATACTACTTGATTCTACCATATTGTACCAATGGACTACCATACAAGGGAAAAGTGTTAGTGGATACGTTGCATTTTAACTTTCAGATCAGATGTGAAAAGATTTCATAACAATTGAATGGCTACTGACTGCTAGAAAATGGATAATAAATGCCTTCTGCTAGAAGAAAGCACTTTGCCCTAGGAATAACGGGTATAGTTGCTTAATATCGACTCAGGAATTGGGATACATCTGTCCATCGACACGATCAGATTGAACGCACTCCGCCATCTCAGAAAGGTCTTGGGGTTTGGGATTTACTTTTAAACTTTGAGAGCTATCTGTTTTCAGGCGAATGTACTTAACACTGGCAATGGAAGTTTCTTTCTTGGGCGTTCAGTTTTCTTGATACAATCCCCAAATCAATGCGGCACTAGCACTATCCGAAGTTGGATTACCCCTTTAAGAGAGGACCAAATTGGGAATGTTTGTACACTTTTCTCTCCCTAGATTTAATTGGGATTTAGGTCGTGTTTACTGCAGTCTTAAAAGGTTGGTATGTCCTGCCATGTATATCTTAGCCCCTCTCCTAACCCAGTCAACCCTTCCTTTCCACTAACTCCAGTAGTCATTAGTACTGCTAGAAAATCAAACTGCACTTTAGTCAATAGAATCTCACTGACTTACAGCTTTATTAGCTCCTCTGCCTGTCTGTGTGTCTTTCGTGGATTAGGAGTCTGTAATTTTTGTATGTCAGCTGATGGCAATAACGCTTTCGAATCAGCTTGCTTCTTCTGATTGCTGAAAGGTCAGTGTAAAATGATTCCACAGTATATTGTAAGGTCAATTCTGTAACTATAGCTTAAAGTCAAGTTGACACTATTGCATAGTTTAGTGCTTGGCTGCTCAATGTTTCCTGAATCTGTAGAATGTTAATTAAAATTTAGTGATGTTTTAATAACTTGTGAGGAAAAGTGTAGAATCAAAAGGGGCAAAAATAAGCAGAATGAAAATGAAGAAATGTAAAAGTGGATGGACAGAGTAATATAAAATCCTGAAATTAAAATAAGAACTTTTAAAAATATAAGTAGCACATTGCTATTGAAGTAAAATATTTAGCAACTTATTCACCTATGTTTAATCAGGCTCTGTAATAATGTCTCCAATGTCTGATAATTAAGAAATACAACTAGCTAAACAAAAATTGAAGTATAACTACATTTATAAGTGAGAAAATAACTAACTACAAAGAATGGATTTTGGAAGAAAGCAGTTTTTTTTTTAAAGGAAAGAATTTTCTTGATCAAGGTCAAAGTAAATCAGTGGGATTTCGTGTTTTTATTTGAGTCTAAAAACTGAATGTTGGCCGTTATGATCTCAATGAATCAGGTTTGCTTTTTAAAACTATTTTTGCACTCCATAAGCCAATGATAAGCAACCAACAATGTCACTTAATTTTTGGTACAAATTTCAAGTTCTGCAGTGCAGACTTCACTTGGAAGTTTGGACAAGGGCTCGCCTTCTAGTGAGTATCATGTGATTGTAACACCATGAACAACCCAACAGATATTTAGTCAATTTCAAATTTTGAAAAGTGAACCACCATCTAACATAGATAAGCAGTACAACATCTGTTATTGCTTAATTCCTGCTTTCTTCCAAAAGTGAGTATCTGATTAAACACAGGCCACAGAATGGTTTTCTTTCTAGTTTGAGATTTGAGATGAGAGCCTTTGTGTTGATATGGTGTATAGACCATATTTGATAACATAAGAACTTAAAATAGTTATTAAATAGTCAGTTGTGTAATTTTACTGTAATAAAGCAGGGGCAACAGATAAGGAAAATTCTTACTATGAAAATATCAAAAAGTCTTTAATACAAATATTACTTATTTGCTAGCACCTGGGAATTGGAAAACACTGAAACTTTACAGATGCAAAAGTCACATAGTTAAATAAGAGAGGAACCTGATGCCAATTATTTTAGAATGCTAATGAATTGCTATCATTGCTATTGCTAAATTCTCTGTTCTCCTTATTGTCTCCTGTATTCTCTAGTTAAAATTCACATGCTTATATTTTTGAGGTTAGTAGGGACAACTTGCTGACACTTGACAGATCTTCTTTTTTCCTCCCTATCCCCAAAACACAGGGCTTCTGATAACAGGGAGCGTACTTATGAGCACAGTGCCTATGGACACCACGATCGTACAACGACAGGGTTTGATCGCCCAAGGCATTACGAACAGGATTACTATAGAGATCCTCGAGATAGAACTATACAACATGGAGTTTATTATGGGTCAAGAAGTCGAAGTCCAACTCGATTTGAAACTCATGATCCACGTTATGAACAAAGAGGGAGGGAACAGTTTGCAATATCAAGTGTAGTGCACAGAGATCTCTACAGGGAAGATATTACTCGGGAAGTAAGGGGGAGACGACAGGAAAAAAACTATCAGCACAGCAGGAGTCGATCCCCACATTCCTCACGGTCAGGAAACCAATCCCCACAGCGATCTAGCCAAGCATCGAGGTCACGGCGTTCTCCCAGTGGCAGCGGGTCGCGGAGTAGGTCATCAAGCAGTGATTCTGTCAGCAGCAGCAGTAGTACCAGCAGTGACAGGTAGGTGGAGAGGAGTGTAACACCAATAGTTCCCACCATATGACGTCAGAGCAAAGAGAAACATATGGGTATTGTTTCACTAATCCTCGGAAAAGGTGAAATATCTAAGTTAGTAAATAAGTGTTACTTTTTGTTGCCTGTTCTTTTTACTGCCAAATGATTGTTTAACCTTTTAACCTGAGAGATTTTGAAAATCATGTTGCTTGTTTTTACAAAACTTGTGAAAGCAAAGTAATGAATGCATAGCTGTTATTGGAGGTTCAATTAATTATAATGTGAATTTTCCGTGGTGACTGCTGAAATTGTTGAAAACGTTTAAGTAAACACTTGGAAGCAATCACTATTGTGCTGCTGGAAGGATCATTTTATATGAAAAAGTGGGGTGAATTACTAGTAATTAGAGCAATTTGACATGATAGTTCTTAGGGCTCAGGGGATCAAAGGGTATAGGGCAAAAGCGGATACAGGGTACAGAGTAGGATGACCAACTATGATCATGTTGAATGGTGAAGCAGATTTGAAGGGCCAATTGGTTTATTCCTATTCCTTTTTTTTGTTCCTATAACATACCATTTCCCCCATATAACATTTTGGTAATAATAAAGTTAGCAGTAGTTGCGTGTGGGCCCTTATCACAGATGCCACCAAGCTAGTTGTAGCTGTTTAGAAAAATAAGTCTACATCTTTTTTAATTTGCAAATGGTAATAGACCACTTTCCTCTTTGGAAAGAAGGTAATGTATGGCATTCCATGCCCTGTGCTGTCTAATATAAAATTTTAACTGAAACTATCAATGAATATGGAGATAGTAGTAGGAAAGGAACCTTCAATTCTTATATATTGTTTAAGCTATGCATAGCATAAAACTGTTGATTCAGTGTATAGTAAATTACACTGTGAAGCAGCTTGCTTCTTGGCAGGTGACAGGATCACAAAGTAATCAAGATATGTTGCAATTTAAAATTGCAATTTTCCATGAAAAGTGTTTTTAAAATAAAGCATTCAATGTCAATCAAATATTCACATTTGTAATATTACATGTCATTGTGTGTGTAATATATTAAACCTGTGAGATTCTGGTTGATCCTATATGATTGTATGGCAGGAATGAGTCAGATCCCACGTGAACTCAAATATGTATTTAAATATTCTACTTTAATCTTAGCTTTATATTTTTAAGTTAATTTATTCCTTGTATTCAGGAACCCAAAATGGCAAATATTGTGGTGCTTTGGCTCGATGCTGGAGTAAGGCTATTGCTGTGGATGAGGATTCGGAAACATTCAAGTCATCAGCATACCCACCTGTGGGAAGAAATAGATGTGTTGCATACATAACTCATTTAAATTTTTGGAAACAACGTTTTTAGTTCTTTCATTTGTGTAATTACTCTGTTGACTCCTCTGGTTCTAACAGAATAAGTTAAAACTAGGGAACATGGTATTGGGGGGAGAGAGAGAGATTAGTAAAGCAGTTATACCTCAAGCTAATTTTTCCGGTGGCATATATGTTATGTAAAAATGGCTTTAGAATTACATAGCACTTACAGCATACAACATGGCCCCCAACAGGTCTCTGATGTTTATGCTCTTCCCACTCTCCTTTATCCAAACATATCAGCATAACCCTTTACTCCTTTCTTAATTCTTATCTAATTTTATCTTAATTGCATTTGTTATTTGCCTAAATACATATTTCCTGGATTTCTATTAGATTTATTAATGGGTATTTAATGGTATTTAATTTTTAAAAAAATTCCCTCCCCTTTTCTGCAGGTACCCTGATAAATCCCTTAATAATTTTAAAGACCTCTGTTAGATTACCCTTCAGCCATCTCCAGAGAAAAGACCTCCAGCCCATTCAGTCTTACCTAATAGTTACAATGTTTCTGTTTTGGTATTGTACATGTAAACAATTAGAATCTGGGATAATGTTCCCAGAGTTGGTGCTTGTCACTGCTATGGTATTGCATGATATTCTTAAAACAGCCGCAATATCATCTAAATTTGCACCCTTAATCAATTTTAATTGCTGTTAATGATGTGTGAATTTATTAAAAGGCACTCTGGGTGCAATTCATTCTTGGATAAACCTGTTTATCTTACTACTACTACTGATTTGATTTTAATTTAGAAGTGGATGAGTGCAGTAGATCACTCACCTTTTGTGGAATCCCCAGTTGCAAAGCTGGAGTTTCATAGCAGAGGAAAAAACCAGGTGTGAATCTCCAGCATATATAATTTAGTTTTGTAGTGGATTAAGTCACAGTGCATTCTTTGAGCTTTTTTTAAAATTCAGCCTAGCCAATTAACTTGATGGAAGGCACAAGTTAGATGCTGTTACATGGCAAAGCAAATGGGACACTCATAATTTTTGGTCTTGTGGGCAAAAAGGGTTAAATTGTCATGCCCCACAACAATTTGTAATTTCTGTATGTTGGTGTATTGCTCATTTGTTTTAGCAACCCATAACTTTGGATTAATGAAGTAGATGCAGTTTTTATTAATAACAGAATCTTGATGACCAATAGATACTCAACAATGTCTAAATAATACCTAATATGGAAAAAAAAGTTGATGTTTCTCAGACGCATAAGGAATATCAATGTTGGGCCGAAGGAGTTGATATTGGTCTGGCAAAAGATGGGATTCGAGAGAAGTCTTAAAGGTGCACGGGGATCACTTAGTTGGCTAAAGGCACAGCCACTGATGATAGTGTGGAGGGAAACTGATCTTGTCTACAGATGTTCATCTTAGGTTGGGGTGCTTAATTGAATTGTGCAGTTCACTCACATTGTTTGTAAAGTTCTGGAATCAGTGCAACCTCCCTAATAATACTGGATGAACATGCTTAATATTTGCGTTCATAATATTACCAATAAAATGCTTTTGTGCTTTTTATCTTGTTTATGTTTGTCTCCTGTCCACAAATGCCATGTACCTTTTTCAATTCATAGGCAGTTGGTTGTTAATTTAGCTTTGTTACTTCCATTGCATGTTCAGCTTTGAAAAAAATGTATGAGCAATCTGGAAATAAATTGTGTACCAGCCTTTCCCTGTTTTTTTTTAGGATAAACTTAGCTTCCATTCAGGAACTAACTTGTGATGAATAATTTGGAGATTCTTTTATTCTGTGGTTTTATGGTGTAATGAATAGTTTTATATAAACCACTGCTCACTAAGCATCTAAGTTTGAATCATGCTATTAACCATCTATTCAGTAAAAATTGGATACATCTCCTCTCTGTTTGGTCAAAATTGTAATGTGTTGCTACTTTCTTGCCACTTACCCAACTTTCATCCTCAGTATGCAAAATATTCATAACAAGTTGTTGGTTTCCACTTGCTTTTGTCAACAACTCTATATTCATTGTTTTGTGAAGCTAAACATTATTAGTTGTAGGAATCTGACAGTATTTTGAGTGGCTTTTGATTGGGTCACAAAAAGTTTGCTACATTCAAGGAGAACACTTGTGCTGTAGAAGCCAGAAATCCTTGCATAAGCATAACCAAATTCCATGGAAAGCAGAACAAGAGTTTCTGTTTTAAATAAATATGTCCTTGTTAACCATGTAAAGTTTTTGTTACACTACAGTGTTATTTGGGCATTTGTTCAACAGCCATGTATTTTTCAATTTCAGAAGTCAGTTTCCTTTATCTTGACCTTTTTTCTCAGTAGAAGTTTAAACCAACACTGTACGAAATTAGATGCATTGTTATTCCCAAGTTTTAGAGTATTGTGTTAGTTCCAAACAGCATGTTTTATTTAACATTTTCACACAATAGGACAAATTTGTAGCATTCACTTTCAGTCACTATTATCCTGGCTTCAGTCATTAGTGTCATAATTCTTTATTGATCCTTTAACAACTGTCCATGATTTAAAAACCCTCTGTTAAACTTGCTGTCACCATTTTCTGTTCCAGTGGAATTAGATGCAGTATGTTGAATTTCTTCTCATAATTTTGGTTTTCTGTTTGTCATATTTCTTGGTCTTCCATATTTTGAAAGATTGGCAGAGTTGATTACTAGGCACCCAGATTGAGAAATTGGCAAGTAATGTGATTGAGTTCTGAAGCTGTCTGTCTTTTCTGCTCTTTCTTCGCTATTGCTAAGGCAGGCATAGAAATAGTGGTACCTGCTTTTAAATTGGACAATGAGAGCAGTTGCATGGTATCAGTTAATTAAGTCGTCGGCGCCTGCTCCACACCTGGTATATCAAAAAACATTCAAAAATACAACATGTCCTAAACTATTTAATGACTTGGATTTAATCTTGAGCAAGTATTTTTTATATTTTGCTAATTTTGAATCCATGTTGAAGTGATAGTATATTCAGTTTTGGAGGCAGAATAATGCATTCTGTCATTCCTGATAGCAATCAACATTTTATCCTAATTGTGTTTTTACACATGCTATTGTGGAAGTCTTTCCAAGTTGTGAGCTCCAGTGTCTTGTGCAGTCTAGTCATTCAAGTCTCTGTGTAAAATGACGAAAAATGTCAGTTGTATCCAGAAATTGGAGCTAATAAACAAACTGATGAGGATTAAAATTTGCTTACATGTGGTCAACTGGCAAACATTTTTATTTAATTAGAATTGACGAAATAAAAAATTTTTTTTTGTCTTCTACGTTTTGAATCGCTAGGCTGAAATTCTTTTGGGACTGAAGTGATTTAGAATTGCGAAGCAAAAATAGAGGCTGATAATGAAATTTCAAAAAAGCATTAGATGTATGCTGCAACACAAAGATCAAGTATGAAGTTGGAGGTAGCACCAGATGCAGAGAACACTAAAATTATTGTAGTTGAGAGAGAATGGGAGAACATCTCTTGTAATGTTTTGGTCTCTGCAAATCATGCATGTGAGCTGTAATGGCCTACTGACATGCTTCCAACTACCTTTAGCTGGATTAAGTGTCGTTTGCCGTTATATGACCCACTCTCCTGGTACATCCTAAGTTTGTTGCATATGTTTGCATTCCTTTTATTGTCCTAACCCTTGCAAGATTTTGGTGCCATCTGCAGAGTTACTGAGCATATTTTCAACCTGATTGTTCACTGTTTGTTTCTTTTGCTGTAGGATTTATGGCTTTTTTTAACTTGGTGTTTATTTTGAGACATCAGTGAATGATGTCTGGAGAGAAGAGCAGTACTGAGGACATCTGGCTCTGTTTTCTTTGAATAAAAATAGTTTATGAAGATTTATAAGTGCTTGATAGAAATTGCTTGCATCTGTTGTGTAAAGATTTAAACAATGGTGAATTTGTGGTGAAAGGAAATTGGACCTCCTCTAGAAGTTCCTGGTTTTCTTAAAAAAAAATTTGAATGTCTACTTGGCAAATAAGTCCAGTTCCTCTACAGTCCCTTCGAATGGATGCTGGCTTTAATTGAAGTAGCCTCAGTTCTCTATTAACTTTCTGTAAATTTAGTTTTTAACCATTTGAACAAAAGTATCATGGGACTGTAGTTGTTTTATACCTTTGAAAATTATGATCCAGTGATAATTGGCAACAAGCTAGAGATGATATAACATTGATAAATCCTCCCACTAACTTCACAACTGTTAGAAATAATTCTTTATTGATCCTTTAACAACTGTACCTGATTTAAAAACCCTCAATTAAACTTGCTGTCACTATTCTCTGTTCCAGTGGAATTAGGTGCAGTATGTTGAATTTCTTCTCATAATTTTGGTTTTCTATTATGTCATATAATCCTGATGAGTGTACATTGATGTTACATGAAATGATTCTAATCTCCTATTGTATGATATGGAGGAACCAAAGCTTCACAATGGTTTTTACTTGTGACCCAACCATTGTCTTCTGCAAACTTATTATCACAGTGGAACCCCTGCCAATGTTGAAATCCAAAATGATATAGGGCTTTTAGTATAGTATTATGTACTTGCATGCTTTATTTACCTGGGCTGATTTTCTTGAACCTCAAAGTACATCTGTTTGTTTACTTCATGTAGCAATTGTTTACTTCCTTTACTTGTTCTTCCTTCAAAACTGTATTATAGTACAGCACAGGAACAGGCCCATTGACTCACCTTGTCTGTGCTGACCATGATGCCATGCTAAACTATTCCAATTCCCATTCTAAACATTCTAATCCCATCTGCCTACCCTTGGTTCGTATTCCTGTATTCCCTGCCTGTTCATGTCCATCTAAATGTCTTACTTCTTTTACATAAAATGCATCCACCCATCCACTAACCTTTTACCCTATTTGTCTTCCTGAAATATTTTAAAGTCCTTGCTATACGCCAAACTCCATACTTCTGTCATCTGCCAATTTCAATGTCATGTTCCAAACCTCTCCAATCTGAACAACACTCCTATTATCCCCAGCTCTGGTTCCCGTCCATCAGTAAATTTTCTTGTTACCTTAGGTTTATTTAATTTTTATCTGAGTTACGGATTTAAAGGATTTGCTTACAACTGACAGTAACTGTTTTTTCTGCCACCACCCTTTTCTCAAACATGCTTTTTTGGTTGTTCTGTGCTCCTCAGCGTGATTTGCTTATTGAAGGAAAGTGATTATTCTTACAACTGTTAGGTCCTGATTCTTAGTTTTATTGCAGCAGTTTTCTCTGATTAATGTTCTTTGAATAATGAGCAGAGTTCAGTATTGAAATTGTTGCTATGTAAAAAGTGCTTCTAGCAGTGATTTTTGGCTGGTTAATTGTTAGCTAAATCTTTAGGAAGAACTGTGAACTCCAAGTCTGAATTTATCCCCCTTGTTTTAAAGCATGTCTGAATCAGAACTGCTGAGTTAGTGAATATATCGCATGTGCACACATGGCATCAACAGGTACTGAAAAGTCTCATTGATTTTCTGGGATCTGGGTGTACTTGGCAGTATAGTAGTGATGTTACTGGACACATCATCCAGAGGTACAGGCTAAAGCACTGGGGATATGAATTCCTATTCCATCATAGCAGCTGGTGGGATTTAAATTTGGTTAATAAATTTGGAATTATAAAGCTAGTCTTAGTAATAGTGACCGTGGCAACTGTCATTAATTGTTGGAAAAGTCCAGTTAACTGATTTCCTTCGGGAAAGGAAATGTGGTACCCTTACCCAGTTTGGCTGACATGTGACTCCATCATGCCTTCTGATATGGCCTAGCTAGCCACATTCCATGAAAGAATAAGAGAAAGATGAAGGTCACAGCTGTTTTAAGATTTCTTAAAAGCTAGTTGAAGGACATATTTTGATACTTTTTCAAGATGCATGGTGGTTCAGCAAGACTTAGCACAATATCTGTTTGTTAACTAAGGCTGTCTATCTATCTAACTGTCTATCAGTTGCAGTTCAAATTCTGGGTCTGCCACTGAGCTATGGGAAGTTATTTCACAGCAAACGTACTGCAGGATCTGACACCTTTTTATGCCATCCTCCCAGAATCTGGATCACCAGAACAATATTAATGCAGTTTAAGTGTGAATCCTGTGAGAAACCTATTAGTGCAGTCTGTCCGAAGTATTCATCCTTACGAATCTTTCTCTCAAATGCCAGGATTATAACTTATTTATTGTATATTTATGCACTTTGCTGTGATATTGGAGCTATGGAAAAATAAGGATGAAGAAGAACCATCAGTAAACACTCCTTGTGGAATGGGTTGGCTGCCCTTACTGCATTCTGTTTGTGGATCTGACAGTCAATTTGCATACAGCAGAGACCCCAACCTCAGCTACATGAAACACCAATTCATCTGTTTTCATTGAATTAGAATGGGACAAATGTTGGTTGGAATATCTATAGAGAATCCCCTTTACAGTAGTGCTGTGGAAGCCTTTCTGCGTCTATCCCACACAACGCTAGACTTCAATTTAATGTCTCATGTACCAGTTGGTATCTTAATCAGCATGTTGTTTCTTGATTATTTTAACAAGCAATTTGCAGGAGTAGAAGAAAGTCATCAAAACCAAATGAGTAAAGAAGGGAGATGGGAAGATTATTGCTGGTCTGATTGAAACCTCAAATCGACATTTCCACCTATCCATGAATAACCTTTCACTTCCTTACATGACAAAAA